TCTTAACCTCGAAATTTCTTCTGGTTTTTAGTTTTACTTTCTTTTGCCAATAGAGAGTGTCTGTTTTACGAACAGAGGACTTTTCTTTTCTTTTTTTTTTTTTTCTTTTTTTTTTTTTTTGGCTTCTGGTTTTGAGTTGAAGTGGGGGCCGGTTTGCATGCTGTAGTTCAGCAATGTGGGGATCCCTACAGAAACCTGTACAGGCACAGCATGGGTCTCTCTGTCTCGTCTTTTCCTTAGCTGTAGGCCGGGGTCCAGGCAGACCACAGATCACACAGCCGCACTCTGTACTACACTGGTTCTGACAGGGGCTCTTTTTTTTTTTTTTTTTTTTGTAAATTGCCCTAAGGATAGGTACTTTCATGACCCGGACAGGTATTTTCATGACCCTGACTACCGTAGTGTTTGTTCCTCCCATCGTTGCCATTAGTGACCTAATCTCTCGCTCTTTCTTCCGTTCTCTCTCTCTCCCATTCTCCAGCGCTAATCCCGCTAGAAGTCTGGATGCACTGACTCACCGGCAGCTTAACAGACATTCCGCCCCCCTTCCTACTTCTTCCCTTTTACTCTTGCGGGCATGGGACTGTATATCCCTTTACTAAGCCTAATCTCTCTCTCTCTCTCTCTCTCTCTCTCTCTCTCTCTCTCTCTCTCTCTCATCCTCTTGTGCTAGGCGAGGTCATTTTTGCACCTTGTAAATTCTTGCCGAGACGTTTTGCCCTCGCTTTTCTCATGACTTGTTTTTGGTCATCCAGCCATGGGCGTCCGCCATGTGGCAACCTACGTGGTTGTCTTGCCGGAATCTTTTACAGTGGGAGCCTCCGCCGTTGGTGTGCGACAGCGGCAGTCTGACAGATGATCTGCAGATCTGCTTTGGCCTGAATATCCAAGCGTACCCTTCAACCAGAGAACCCGATGAAGTCACAACGCAGCTCTACACTTGGCCGCGTCGTTTCAAGCCCACACACATTTCGAATTATGGACTATGGGCATGACCACGCCTCTCAACAAATGCGTAGTAGACACAAATCTATAACAGGTCTATCTTTACAGATTCTAGTTAAAGAGACATTCTCCATTTTGCAGATCTGGTGAGGAGGGTGGCCTCCTCACTGCTCCGCTCACCGAATGTGGATAGGGCAACACAGTTGTGGTGGAAGATACGTTCCTCATTTCACACGATTTGACGAGTAGTGCAGCAACTCCAGAGAGGGCCTGTGGTCCAGATCAATGTGGAACGGGAGTGAAAAATAATTTGAAAAGATGACAGTCCGGTATCTTCTTCTTATATTGAAAAACTCGCGAGGTTTTGTAATAATACCTTCTTCTTTTTTTCAAAACCACCAGTAGTTGACCATACATCGGCTGCAGGCGTTTCCCGTTATTGCGCCGAGACTGATGGGCTTCAGGCTACCGGACTGCAATGCCTGGAGGCACCAGCCAAAAGAAAACCGAAACGACGCGGCGGCGGCCTTGCAAAACTTGGCGCGCAGGGCGTTTCCCGGCTCGGCATCAATAGCTGGGCCAAGTACTGCTGGTTTAACCACCACTACCGTTCAGGCTGGAGTCCCAAGTGGGAATATACTAATATAGCGTATACCGCAGTTTTCGGGGACTGGGCCGCCGCCGTTGGTAAATTTCATCGGCGGGGTCTTCACCGGCGAGTTACCGGCCTCCGAAACTGGCGGGGCCTCGCCCGCAGCCGATGTATGGCGAAGGTAGTGGTGCTTTAGTAAAAACTGTTTTAAGTTTTAACCATGCCCATTGCTGATGTTGAAAGAGAAAGAAAAGCCCTGGAGAGGACAAAGCTAGCGCAGTCAGGATGCAAGTGGCCTTCTTCATATGTAGGTACTTATCATGAATGTGGGCATCTGCACGTCCAAGTGCACTTTTCCTCGGCGAGTTTCTGCATTTCCAAACAGGAACAGATTGTTCTTGTAACCTTGCCTTTGAAAAAATGACATCCCTCTCTCTTCTTTTTTAAATTGATATACCTTGAGAGTAGCATGGATCACGTACGTCTGGGCCTAAGTCCTCCTCCGTCCAAGCATTGATTCGAACCGACGACCTCGGCCTCAAGAGCCAAGTCTCTTAACCACTTCAACCAGGACACGGTGTTCAGAAGTTGAATCGTACCGGTCATTATATCCACACCAACCCTCCAACTCGACACACACCACACACCCCACCCCTGCAAGGATGTCGTGATCCCTTAAGAGCCTCTACTACGTGAGTATGTGTTTTTTTCTTCTCTCTCTCTCTCTCTCTCTCTTTCTCTCTGTGTCTCTCTCTCTCTCTNTCTCTCTCTCTCTCTCTCTCTCTCTCTCTCTCTCTCTCTCTCTCTCTCTCTCTCTCTTATGTCTCGCCCTTTGCCCTGGGGTGGTTGAAGGTCACAGTGCGGAGCCCCAGCCTTGGGACCAACCTACGTAATGCAAAAAATTGTTGTGTTCTTTTCTTCTTCTTCTTCTCTCTCTCTCTCTCTCTCTCTCTCTCTCTCTCTCTCTCTCTCTCTCTCTCTCTCTGGAAGAGCCTCTCTCTCTCTCTCTTATGTCTGCCCTTTGCCCTGGGGTGGTTGAAGGTCACAGTGCGGAGCCCCAGCCTTGGGACCAACCTACGTAATGCAAAAAAGTGGATGCCCCCCAAGTTCCCATATGGGCTGGGCTGGTCATGGGCCGCTTTGGCGGAAATTAGGGTGTGCAATACCGTTGGACGTCATGCCCCATTGTCCTGCAATCCAAGTGGCGGGTGAGATACCTGGTACTATTGAATAGTTGTTTGTGGACTAAAGACTATTTGGTTTTCTTTGAATCTGTGTGTTACCATACTTTGCCACAATTTTGCAAGTGCGCTGTTTTCACGTTTTCCTAGAATCATGAAACGACAAAAAGAACTTGGGCACCAGCTCGGTGGTTTCGGACTGACACAAAGTCACATTACCGCCATGTTTTCGGGCAGTGTTGGTCAGGCCGTAAAACGATAAAATCATCCCCCCCTCCCCTCGCCCCCTCCCCCGCCTCTCCCCCTGTTGCAAAATATAGAAAAACAACAGAAAGCCTATATGATCCTCCACAGCATAGTTTTGCACGGAGTTTATAAGGAGGGGCACTAGTTAAGCCGAATTTAAGCCGGCGGGGGAAGTGGTCATTTAAGATAAAGAACAAGGCTCTCGAGGTCAAGGTGGCCTAATCGTGGCTTTGATCCGATGTAGTGCGTATGTATCTTTCACTGGCCATTGATTTTTCTGTTGTGTATCTTGTTTTTGGCTGCTTCATGTAACTGGAGAGCAGGTGGCATCGAGCATGTGCGGGTGCATCCCAAGTTCTTGCACAGCAACGCAACGAGCCACAAATGGGCCTTGGGGGGTACGTGTTGACAAAACCCTTTCATCGAGCGGTTTGGCTGATATTAGGTCAACACAATTATGCTTTGAGCTGTGATTACTTCAGTTATCTCTCTCTCTCTCTCTCCTGCTATGACTGTTCTTCCTTGCTCTGCTACCCACGCTGTGTTCTTACCCTTCGTCTTGCTCCTCCTCTCTGCATCTCACCCTCTTTTCCCTTTTCCACCTCTCTCTCTCTCTCTCTCTCTCTCTCTCTCTCTCTCTCTCTCTCTCTCTTCTCCTTCTGGTTTCGTTGTCTAGAGCACGCCTTCCTCTGCTTGCGACTGCCAATTTAGTATTTACCCCTTCTTGTTTTTCATCTCTTCGCATATCGCCTTCCTTTTTCTCTTTTTCTTTTGAAGAAACAGCCTTTTAGGGATATATCTCCTTTCGCTCTCGAGAGTTGTGGTCCTCCTGCCACCAGGGCAGGGCACAAAATTACAAAATCCAGGAGAACTGCTCTAGCGAGCCTTCTTCCAGTCATGTTATGATTTGGAGACCCGAGAACAGAGTAATCACCCTCCTTTCTTTCTTTTCTTTGGTTGGAACTGGAAAAAATCCTTTTTCTAAAAGAAATTCGAACATCCTTTTTTTGATTTTTAGTAGAAACAACTCCTTGTGGTAACATCTCCTTTCATGATGGTTGTTTTTTAACCTTTGTCATGTTGTTCTCCATGTAGTGCCTATTCCACAAAGGTGCTGCTGCTGCTGATTGTGACGGTGATGGCAGTGGTGATGTGCTTGCCCATGCTGCTGGCATCGTCCTCAGAATGTCTTTTGTAATCTGCTGTTGTCGCTATGATGTGATGACTTTTGTTGTTTTTGTTGTGGATTGTTGTCATTATTTGCGATTTTATCTGGACCGTTTCTCAATCCATGCGTGTTATCCTTGTGCAGGGGTGGTGCTAATCTTCTCTATATCGTTCCAATTTCAAAAGATGCTCTAAAGGACATCATCTACTATGTTAGTGGCTGTCAGAATGTAGTATTTGATCCCTTGGTGTGATATGACATCCATTTTGCATGAGCTCCACAAAGCATTGTATTCTAATCTCTGCGCAACTCAAGTAATGATGCAAGAAATGGTGCGAATTCACATGGTTTCCATACCTTCAACCCCTGTCTGTGTTCACTGATGTGCCCAAACTCATTTGTGGTTGCTGGTGTTGTTTCTGTGTTGCTTGGTTTGTTTGCATTCTGTGTGTTATTTGCTCTGTATGACCTTCTCCTGCCTCAATGGGTCGACCTGATGTTCTTCCACTGTCTGCTGCTACTATCAGCCATTGCGGAGCTCCTCGACAATGCCATTGATGAGGTGATTTCTTTTCACCTGCTACTTATTTCTGGCTGTTCCTTTTCTTTTTCTCGTTACGGTTTTGCCTAGTTGTGGTCTTCTTGTTCTCCTTTTTCTTTCTTTCTTTTCTTTTTTTCCCCCTTCTTTCTTTCCTCTTCTTCTCCTTCTTCTTCTTCTTCTTCTTCTTCTTCTTCTTCTTCTTCTTCGTTGTCGTAGTTGTCGACATTTCTTTTTTTATTGTTGTCTTTCTTCTTCATCTTCTACTTCTTCTTTGGCGGTACTGAGCGGTGTAGGGTTTGTCAGTGCTGTGTGGGAGGCCCCAATGATGGGCATGGTGCACTGTGGGCTTGATGAGGGTAGTAGTGAAGGAATGTTGTGATGGGGAGGGTGTGCACTCTGTCTACTGATGAGAAAAAAACATTGGGGGTTGTGTGGGTGGTGTGGGCAGTGTTAAAGTGCAGTAGGGGCTTCATCGACAGAATCAGCAAGAGGCGGCATGGTGACAATGAGGGGCCTGGGGGCTGTGTTGTGGCAGATCGTTGGTGGGTGCTGAGAGTCCTCGAGGTATAGAGTTTTCTTGTGAGTTTTCAGAATCTGTTTCTTGATGTGTGCAGCTATGAAACTATCTATGGTTGAGTTCACTTCACATTTTGTCTATGCATGACTGTTGAGAACAGAAAAAGTCTATCCATTATTCAATTCATTCCTTACCTCAGCCTTCGTTACTTTATGGACTGCATCGTCCACTACCTCATCCATTACTTCACTAGATCTATAACTTGATGTTTTCATGACTTCCATCTCCCGTTGCGCTTTATCCTCTTGATTCATGTATCTGTCTATCTTGGGTGGAAGTGCCAGAAGCACAACAGCAAGGCATCTGCTCTGTCTGGACAGTGGTGTTCACTGGCGAATGGGTGCATGCATGTGTTCTTGATGGTAAGGTCCTGATGTGCATGCGCACGTGTGTGTGTGTGTGTGTGTGTGTGTGTGTGTGTGTGTGTGTGTGTGTGTGTGTGTGTGTGTGTGCACTGGTTGGATGTTTGCATTCTCTCAGCGTCTCTTTGTGTGCAATTGCTTGGTCATGTGTGTGCACGAATGGCATTTCCTGCTGTCTGACCGTGCAATTGACCTGTGTTTGATTTGTGATGATGTCATCAGGTTGCAAATGGAGCGACGTTTGTGAAGGTTGATAAGGTGTATAATCCACGTGACAACCACCCTGCTCTTCTCATTCAAGGTTCGTTGGGAGGTCTTTTCTTTTGTTTTTGTTTAATGATTTGGACCATTTGTCAGTTTGTGCATGTCATCCTTGCCCAAGGGCCATTGGCAGGTTTCTCTGTATTGTTCCAATTGCACATCGTTTGGAAGTTCTAAGTACAGAAGATGTGAAAAATGGAGGGAAAAAAAAAAGAAAAGAAAAGAAATGCTTCCGAGAAACGGTAGCTGTTTGCACTGTTCACTGAGACACAATATCGCTGTCATAACCTGCGTGATCAAACTTCCACCTCTCTTCTGGAAGGAACTCCCAAAGAAAGGAGCCTTTAAAGCACCAGTACGTCCAAAACTCCTTTTTCCGATGCCGATTTCTGCCACTCTCCTGAAATTTTGTTGGAAGCGGTGTGGGCATGAAAATCACATCATTTTTCCTGTTGCCGCCATCCTGTTCCGTTTGGTAGGCCGAGCCCCGAAAGATGCAGCATGTTAACCAAAGTGCTGGAGCAAAGCGACTTGGAAACCCACTGGTGGTATACGGAAGTGATGTGTACCGTAACAGTATGGAATCTATGGATGCTTTCCTTGTCAGATCAGATAGTGTGAAAGGGTTTAATGCATCTTGCAAGTTGTGGAAAAGGTAGAAACAACTGACCGAGGGAAAAGAAAGAAAATAGAAATTGAAGTGCATCCAAAGCAGCCGTGGTGAACCTCAAAAAAAGAAGAAAGATGTGAACTTCAGGTGTCAACGATTGAAGGATTGAAACGGGGGAGGGGGAAAAAAAAAGGTTTGGAAGGTCAAACCAGTCCCCTGAAGACTTGTGTCTCTGACAACATCTTTTTTGTGTCATTATTAGACTTTTGTATTTTTTATATGTTTGCGAGCTGAGCGTGAATAGGATGTGTATGAGAGACCAAATGAGATTAAGCGGTAAAAACTTGCCAAAGTTATGGTACTTTTTAATTGAGGGCTTGGACCCGCCAGCAAACAACGGTCTCCGCCCTTCCGAAAAACCTGGCCCTAACTCACCGGAGGCAGGTTTTTGGGTGCCCTGGGAAATGGTGGTTTAATCGTTTAAGCAGTACTGAGTGAATCTTGATGTCGAGTGCCTGGGAAATATCTTGCTGTCTTTCTGTGCAGTGCCAAGTGTACGGTCTGCTGATGGTGGTGGGATGAGTGAGCAGACTCCTTGGCCCATGGGGTGAAACGATTGTTATTATTTTTTTGAATTTTTCTGTTATTACTGTTGTTTTTTTTCCCGTTTTATTTTCCGTTCTGTTTTATTTTGGTTCTCTTTTTTTTTTTTTTTTTTTTTTTTTTTTTTTTTTTTTTGCAACGGTTTTGAAATCCCTGTGGTGGGCATTCATCTCTTTCTGGGCATCGTGGCTTTCTTAAACCACCAGTACATGCCATACATCGGCTGCAGGCCTCCGAAATGTGACGCTCGCCGTCAATTGATTTGATTGATGGTGCACGAGCCTCCAAAATTTTTGGAGAGGCTCATTCGGCTTCCCTACTTCATCGACGGCGCGCAAGCCTCCAAAATTTTAGGAGAGGCTCAATCGGCTTCTGAACTTGGCTTGGGCCATGTACTGGTGCTTTAAGCCATCCTGCAGGACTTTGAAGAGGAAGGGGTGGGTAAACAGAGAGGGAAAAAAAAAGTAAATGACTTGTCTGAAGGGAATCGTTGTTAGTTTCTCTTCCTCTGCTAGTTATAATAACTGTTATATGCTGAAACTGGGCGGGTGCTCCCGTCCGGCCTGAGATCTCAGTTTGGGTCATTCTTGGCTTGCTCAGTGCTATCTGTGAAAAGAAGGTAATGTATGTCCGAGGATCAGAGCCCCTCTGAAGAGCCCTTTTGGCCACAAGGTGCCTGCTCCAAGTGAAGGCAGGCCGGAAAATGCCTGGGGGCCTATTTTTGGGTGACTGGCGCCAGTTTGTTACATCCACATGGGCATGTGTGACACGATGTGGTCTGCTGGGCCTTGAAGCCGCAATGTGGCCAAGGGCCTTATGGGCCAATAGAATTGCAGCAGCCAACAGTAGCCACGTCGGGCAGTTGGGTGCCTTAACTGACCGGGCCCAGAGCACATTCTTGAAGGGCCTTGGGTGCAGATACTGTGTACAGCCCGGAAGCTACTGGGTACCATGCGCAAGCAAAGCAGGGCCTTGGCAGACACTCACTTTCCATAAAGGAAAGTGTCAGCCTCCAGTCGTGGACATTCTGGCTGAATGCTGCTGTGTGAGCTCAGCTTGAGCGCACGCTCGCTGGAGGCAGTACACTGGCCAGGGACAACGAGCGCACGGGCGCTAGCATTTGGCTGCTGTGCAGCACAGCACGGCGGCCATAGCCAATCCTCTTGTGCACGGTAACTGGTCGGGCAGGTGGTGGTCCTTGGGCGAGGGGCGATGGTGTAGAGCCTGTGAGGGGAAGTCAGGGGATGTGTGTGTGTGCTGTCTCTTATACACATCTAGATGTGTATAAGAGACAGGTCCAGAGAGAGAGAGAGAGAGAGAAGGGACGTACCTGGTGTGTCGTGGAGGTCTGCATGTGTGAAGTCTTCATGTACACCGGGCTGCTGGTTGCATCATGTAGTATAGGTGTTATGAGACTGTAAGCGGGTGTGTCATGGAGGTCTCCATGGGTGATGTCTTCATGTACATCGGTCTGCTGCTGAAGTGCTGTTGGTTGCATCACGTAGTATAGGTGTTGTGAGATGGTAGACTGGGTGCCAAGCGCCATACAGAGGAACAACATTGGATACATATTTGGTGGAGGGGAGATAGGGGCTGGCATTGACAATTGAGTTCATTGCTTTGCGTTTATTTGGTATATAACTTGGTGCATTCTGCGTTCTGTTTAACAAGCGACTATCTGGCTTGCAATGTGATGGTGCAATTTGGCTTTCTGTCATTTGCTTGCATATCAGCCAAAGGCCCAGGGAGTATTTTTATGCTGTTATTATTAGCCCAATGGTCGATGATTAATCCATATCTATCTGCAGCTATTGTTTAGCAAAGGAACCATGAGTTCAAAAGCTTGCATTATACAGTGACATTAATAGAATCCAATAGTTTGTTAACTTTGCTTCCCCTCATCTTATTTTTGTTGTTTTGTATTTAATTTGGGAATGAAAAAGATAAGGTCAGACTGTCTGGGTGGTTAGAACGAGGTTGGTATTGGTTATCTGATGTGGACTATCTATCTATCTTTCCTTACTTTGTGGGCATGTGTATATATGTATATATGTGCATATATGTGCATGATCGTCGGTGATATTTAGTCCATGCATCTGTGTGGGCGTGTGGATGCATGTGCATTTATATGTATGTGCGTGTGTGCTCTGCGTGTGAGCAGACGATGGAGGTGGGATGGACCCGGAAGGTATCCGGCGTTGCATGAGCCTGGGGTACTCTTGCAAGAACACCAACCTCACAATTGGGCAGTGTAAGTGGTGCAATCCTTGCCACATGATCCCTCCATTCGAGACCTGGCTTGCATTTAGTTCTAGGTGTTGCAAATGAGTCTGTAATGGACCTTTATTCCAGATGTTGCTTGCATGTAGTTCTAGGGGTCTGTCATGGACGACATGTCCCAGTCCTCGTGCGCTCTCTTTTTTTCTGTTGTCCTTTTTTTTTTTTTGTGTGTGTGTGAAATCATCCGATAACCTCTTATTCCATCCTAAACAATGTCAGAGTAATATAAACCATATGTCAGGGTAGTTTTGGTGCCTACCGCCGAGGCCTATCGTCGGCGGTAGGCGTGCCTACCAGTCGGGCCGACCCGTTGGCAGACCCATCGGTGGTCGGCAGGCTGCCTTGCAATTTTTTAATTTTTTTTGTGATTACATGGTCGTGCACGGCTTGAGGAGAGCAGACCAAATCTGCAATAATTTTTTTGGGGGGTGGTGGGGGTGGTGGGGGTTATAGGGGGAGATGGAGGGGGGTTATAGGGGGTTGTATGGGGTTAAGGGGGGGGGTATGAGGGTGTTAGGGAGCGGTGTATGGGGGTATTGGGGGGGGCTATGGGGGTGTGGATGGGGGTGTTCGGGGGGGGTCTATTGGGTTGTACGACGGTCGCCGACGGCGCCTACCATTGGCTGGTCGGCAGCCGAGGGTCCGGGGCTGCCGACCGTTGGCGTGACTACCCTGCCATATGTAGAATAACTTAAAACTGCAAGTTATCCCATGTCTGTTTGTGGTTAAGGGGGGGGTATGAGGGTGTTAGGGAGCGGTGTGGGGGTGTATGGGGGTATTGGGGGGGCCTATGGGGGTGTGGATGGGGGTGTTCGGGGGGGGTCTATGGGGGTCCAGGGCCGCCGACCGTCGGCGTGATTACCCTGCCATATGTAGAATATCTTAAAACTGCAAGTTATCCCATGTCTGTTTGTGGTTCAGCAAGAAGTGTGCCTGCAACTCCATATGCTCTGTGTGTGTGTGCGCGCGCGCGAGAGAGAGAGAGAGAGAGAGAGAGAGAGAGAGAGAGCAAGTTGCGGGCTGGCTTTTGCATCGAAGATAGTGCCTAAACATGGTTAATACTTTTTACCAGCTTATGTGAAGTTAATGTGGGTGGGTGGTTGGTTGCTTTTTTGTATGTGTTACATGCTGTTTCGTGCAGATGGGAATGGGTTCAAGACAAGTACAATGCGCCTGGGAGCGGATGTGATCGTTTTCACTCGTTCTGTGAAAGGGGGGTAAGAACTTGGTGCCCCCTCACTATTCCTCTTTTCCCCAGCTTTCTCCTCTTCATTTGTACGTTTGCGTTGATGAACCACTTTTTACATGTAAGTGTACCGATATTGATGGAGTGTAGAACTCACAAATTTTCAAGTACAGCGCTGTAGTCGTCTGTTTTTATTGTCGTCAGCATTGGAGGAAAGAATTCAAAATGTCCAGTTCTTCAGTTCTGTTGAGTTTCCTGTTTCAGGACTCAGTGACACATGTCGTTGGTTCTTGATCTCAAGCTTTCGTTCTCAGGGAAAAGGGCAGAAGGCGAAGGTTTTCCTTTCCCGATAGTGCCTCTACCTTCTTCCCCCGAATACAACGTACGGTCATTATAGCTGTATTTGAGGCATCTTTCAGTCTAGAGACATCTACAATGACCGTACGTTGTATTCGGGGGAAGAAGGTAGTGTTAATAATACTAAGTTATTCTCAATTTAGTTAATTTACTGATTGTCAATTGATTATTGAATTATCATGGATTCGTTAATAGTTTACTAGCAAGTATTATTGTTATGGACCGAACTTTGCTCCAAGACAGTCAGAGGCGGGGGGTTATAGGCTCGGCTAGGCGACCCTGATCGACCTTTATCTGTTTGATCACTGCGGCAGCTTCATTTCTATATGTGCTGTTGTTGTCTGACCCAATGGATGGGCACCTGGAAGGTTTGCCCTTTTGATTTCTACATCTTTTTCTCTCCTTTGTCGTGCCATTTCAGCGTCACGAACCCCGGTTCAGCTGTATCTCGGAGTTCCCTTTCCCCGTTCCAAATCTCCTTCTCTATGACAGTGGTATATTGTACCTTCGGCGCGATTGCGGGTTTTGGTTCTGAATTTTTCCTGTTGACTCTGTAGGAAGAAGTGTGAGCAATTGCAATCGCTCGAGGAAGTTGTAATTGCTCTCAACCATTAGTAAGTATACAGAAGGGTGGGTGGTCGGAAATGTCTGAGTCATTCCTCTTCACAGTGGTGTCTTCATTCTTCTTTTGCCCTGGCCATGTGTATGCCCTCTGTCAATCCCCTACATGAAGGGTGATGCGAGTAGGGGACTGCACGATCCTGGGCTGTGCCTTGCTTCTCGGGTAAACAAGGAAAAGGAACGTATCCCCCCGTCCAAGGAAGGAATGATATCTGATTGAAGTTGGATTTTGCGTACTTTTTCAAACTGCTGACAGGTTTCCTTCAGGTGTGCGTTGAGAGCTCTTGCTGTTATGGGGGATGTGGGTGGGTGGCACCCCGCAAGAGCAGCATATGTCTGTGTGTGCGTGTGCGTGTACATTCCCATGTGAATGTGTGTGACGCTAATTTCTTACTAATCATATAATGAATTAAAAAAGGTCGAAACAATTCAATGGCCATATTTTTAGGTAATCCACATTGGTGGATTTTTAAATGAGGACCTACTACAATTACAGAACGTCCGGAATAATCTACACACACACACACACACACAGAGAGAGAGAGAGAGAGAGAGAGAGAGAGAGAGAGAGAGAGAGAGAGAGAGAGAGAGAGAGAGAGAGAGAGAGTTTTGGGACTAAGTTGGTCTATTCTGTCCTGTTTTTGTGTGCCTCTTGTGATCTATTTCATTTTGGCTTTGTGTTCTCTGTCCTAGGCGTGTGACTCAGAGCATTGGAATGCTGTCATACACATTCTTGCGCAAGACAGGGCACGAGGACATTATTGTGCCTATGGTATGTTCTCAAACATCTACTTCAAATTGTTCTTGGCCAACTGAAAATTTGGTCACATCTTCCAGTCCATATGGCTAGTGGCAACCGTGCATTTGCTTGCATGTGCTTCATCCATCATGCCGCTTGGGCCATGGATGCGAGCGGGTTTCGGTAGTGGTTTGGCTGTAGTGGTTAGGACAAGGCCGTGCTGGGACCTGCTTTCTCAAAACATAAAATTATCGGGAGGTCTGCCAATGTTCGTGCTTTCTTAACATGTAAACCCATCCGAAAGTCTACTAAAAGTTCTCGTGCTTTCTTAAAACGTAAACCTATTGGAAAGTCGGCCAGTGTTTGTGTTTTCTTAATCAGGAAATGCCAATGTTCGATCTTTCGCATGCCATCAACACAGCCCCACATGATCCTGCCCTTATGTTCCTGCTCATCTGGGAAGTGGTTTGAGAGCGAGTGTGCATTGCTCACTCAGTAAACACCGAGTGTTGCCGTGCTGCCTCAGTTTTTTTCCTGAGAGCAATGGCCGACTGCTCCCTTATTGAACGGTGTATAGAAAGTCTGTAGCTACCCGGCAATGACATTAACATGACTACCAGTCCACCATCGAGGTTGACCCATGTGAGGGCGAAGTATGGTATTGGCCTTCTTCTCTGTGTAACAAAGGGCAAGCTCCACTGGTGCCATGTTCACTCTTGGAAAGCATGCATTTAGTCCTAACTTCGGGCAATGAAGCACGGCCCCTTAGTCCGGTCGTTGCTGTCGGTATAAGTGTCGCTTTCTTTCATGTTAAACCACCAGGACCTTTTGGGCTGGTGGTGTTAGCCAAAAGTTAGAAAATTTGTGCAGCGCAGGTTCGTTATTGATTTCGCTTTAGAAGTTTTATTATTTCCCCTCCAGGTTGGGAAAAAGAGGCTTGGAGGTACCGGTGGTTTAGAAGTTTTATTATTTCCCCTCCTCCCGCTTTAATTGTTGATAAGTGGTGCTCTCCTCTGATCTTCTGATTCAAGCGCTGATTGCTGTTGGTCGGTCTGACCATCTTCTTGACCTGCATAGGACCCACAGTCATGATAGCTGTATTTTTGGACTGACTTTCAGTCTTGACACAGCGACACTGGCCGTGCGTTCTGTTTGGGTGAAGAGGGTTGTATGGGTTTCAAATTTCAATGTTTGACTAATATGGGCTCTTTTTGAGGAAGTTCTTTCATCAGTGGCAGACATAAAATAACAGGAACATCACTTAAAAGGAAAAGGAAGATGATAGTTATGGCAAACTCTGATCGCTGATGTGTCGAGAGGTTACACTTGTGCTGTTGCATGCAGGTGGATTATGAGATCTCTGCCGCTGATGGAAAACCAAGACCACTTGTCAGGAGCACAATGGAAGATTGGATGGAGAATATGGACACTTTGCTGGAGTGGGCGCCCTACTCATCTGAAGAGCATCTTCTTCAGCAGGTTGGGAAAAGTGCCACCTTCTCCTCCTTCGTTGTCTGAGCTGTCATTTTTGCTTTCTAATTCTGATATTTAACTTATTACTAGTCTGATTTATTAATTTAATTAATTAATTAATTAATTAATTAATTAATTAATTTTATTTATTCTTACAACCATCAGGGTTCCCTTTCATGCATGGGCAGGCGATGGTGCAGGAGGAACATGAAGTCTCTGCCGGATATATTATGATCAACAGCCCAGCTCAGCTCAGCTTGACGTCTTTTTTTTTTTGCTAATGGGTTCTCCGAACTTCTGTCTGTCCTCTGTCTTGAGCAGTTTCAAGATGTGGGATGGCATGGGACGAAGATGGTCATCTACAACATGTGGCTGAATGATGATGGACAACTGGAACTGGACTTCGATGCCGATCTTCAGGTTTGCCTTCTTCTATGTAATCGAGTTTTCTCTGTCTTTGCTGATTTTCTGTTCAATATACTTCACTGTTTTCACATTTTGAGTACTCTCTCTCTCTCTCTCTCTCTCTCTCTCTCTCTCTCTCTCTCTCTCTCTCTCTCTCTCTCTCTCTCGCTCTCGCTCGCTCTCGCTGTGTGTGTGTGTGTGTGCCCCTCTTGTTTGGCGACCTCTTTTGCGGTCGACTTTTATGTTTGATTGAGACTTGTGACATAAAGTGTTTTGTGTTGTGTGGGTTTGCCTTCTTTCTTGCCAACCATCTCTGTCTAATGGTGTGCCACCCTTGAGTGGCTTAGGTCTTTTTCAGACTATGACTTTCCCACATATATCGGACCGTTTTGTTTGGCCAAATTCGATTGCGAGAACCTTTGTATTGTGATGTGTGGCTGTCGTAACTCCCCTGCATACACACCCACAGCCATGTGTGGCCCATCGTCTAGAACGTCTGGTTGAGGGATTATCATCATCTGTGCATGCATCATCATCTGGGCATTGGGTTTCCCTGAAATTTACATATGGCAAGAGGTCATCTGGGAACTCATGCCCCCGTGCTTAGAAAGAAAAGAAAAACAAAAAAGATAAAGAACATTTCTTTAATAGTTTGAAAGAAGAGGCCGGGGACCTCATCCTGGCAGTGTTAGCCAGTTTCGCTTATGAGGAAGTCAAAACTTCGTCTCTTCCCTTTCCTTCTTTTTTGAACTGCCTCAAAGATTTTAAGCTGGAACGGTTTGCCAGAAGAGAGTAGTACGTATGTAACCAATGCGTAAGGTTTGAAGTAGCGTTAGGTGGAGTTAGGACTCATGCCCGCGTTCTGTTTTCTGTAGTTTTGAGTACTTAGTACTATTGAGGGAAGTTCGAGCGAAACATTAGGAGCCTGGGTACTGCTCCCCTCACAGAGCAGAGTTGAGGATCAACCCTAAGGAGAAAGGCCCAGCTTTGGTACATGGATGTGGATTACTACGCTTAGGGCGGAATTCCACTTAAGAAAAAAACTGGATAGTACTGTCGTGGTAGGGATAGGTATAGTTAGTCAGGTAGTGGGAGAGATTATAATATTATATGTATAAAAGAAAAGAAAAAGACAAGCGGAGTAGTGTGCAAATCACATTGAAGTTTTGACCCCTATGCCTTTTGATGACAGCAGAAGTTTTGATGTAAGATTTACCTTGTGTCTAAGTCAACGAACACTTCGGAATGTGCTGTGACGGTCGTGACACCTGATTTAAACAACCCCTAGCTTCTGAAAAGTAGACCATTAAAATTGGAATGATACGGAGAAGATTAGCATGGCCTCTGCGCAAGGATGACACACATAAATCAAGAAATGGTCCAAAAAAAAAAGAACTCACTAGTCGAATGGCTGACAGGTGTTTTGCTGCAAAGAGTTTAAGATGAGACACTCACGAAATAATTCACTGCCAGGTATTGTGCAATGGGGTGGGTGGGTGGACGGTAGGTATTATTACCACAGTAGTCAGTCTATTTGTGGATATCAAAGTCCATCCCATTGAAACGGGGCCTACATTACTGTCTTCGCCGGAAAAGAACGGTACAGCCGTTGTCCCTGTGTCTAGAGTGAAAGTTGCCCCAAGTAAAGATGTATGACATTGTGTTATGTGCAGGTGCAGACAGAAGACAGTTGGATCTTCGCCGATTGACTCTTTTTTTTTTTTTTTTGAATTTACTGTGGTGACGGAACTGTACTCTTTCCACTAGCAGATGTTACAGTGAATTTGAAATACAATTGTTTGTTTTGGCTTCCAATGTCTTGGATGCACAATCTCGCCGGTACATGTATGCAGGACATACAATTACGGGGTGATGAAAGGGATGGCAATGTGGCCGGGATTCCTATGACCAATACGGTAACCCAACAGCATGTTGCGTACCGCTACAAGTATTCTCTACGGGTACGTTTGATGCCACCCTCACTCCTTCCCTCCCTCCGTCTGTCACTCGTTTGCTCTCTGTGTCCTTCCCCCACCCGGGTCCCTCCCATTTTTCACCTGGACCCTGTGTCTCTCCCTCCAATCTCTCTTTTTGTCTGTCTCTCTCTCCCCCTTTCCCTTCACCAGGTCTCTCCCTTCCCCCGGCCCTTGTGCCCTAACCCCCAATGTGTAGATGGCTTCTAATTAGAAGATTCTCACATGCTCTTAAACCATGCCGGGCAATAGGCAAGCGACAAATGAGACGGTGCACGAGGACGCTGCAGAAAAGGTTCAGCCTACTGGCCCTACAGAGGATGCCTGTGGGGAGTGCCAAAAATTCCAATCGCCCCAATGTTGGCGATTTTGATTCTCATTTTTGTTGATGAAATATACCCAAAAAAAGGAGGGACGTGGGGCAGGTTCTGCTGAATCGTGGTAGTTGACTTGTGTGTCTCATTTCTAAATCAATGAAATCTACCTGCTGAATCAGAAATAATATTAGAAAGAAAAAAAGAACGATTTTCGCGGTTTAGAAAAGAAGAAATTGTGCCAAATTTCCAAACTGCGAGAGGCTGTCTGTGACACTAGGCGCTTTTTTGGCTACCGAGCTGAACATTCTCAGCTCGACAAAATGTGGTCTACCGAACTGGTGGAGTTTAATGGGAGGGGAGGTGAAAGGCCAACATGCGCTGGATGGGCAACATAGAAAGATGGGCTTCCCTCTTGCTGTCTGTGTGCATGTATGCCACTAATTGACAATGCCGAGTGCATGACCTTGGAACTGATTTATCTTCCTGTCTGGACGTGATCTGACTGGTGGTGTTCTTTCAGGTATATGCATCGATTCTCTACCTGAAGATGCCTGAGAATTTTCATATTGTTTTACGTGGTGTGGTTGTCGAGCCGTACAGCATCGCTGCCGACGTGAAATATCCGGAGTACATAATCTACAAACCTCATGTTGGGGGCAAAGAGGATCGTGAAAACACGGTCAGTGTCGAGGAAGACTCGTGCTCTGTTTATTTACTTTTTCTGAACGTCCGAAAATGACCAAAATGAGAGGGGCACTAGATTTTCAGATGTTTGTTTGGGCCTGGCACATTTATTTGGTGCATAGCGCAAAGGTTGTTGAAAACTCTGGAGTCGTTCATTGGAATTGGAAATGACCTGCAGCGAATTTCGATCTTCACAAACTTTTCTTTCCTTTGAGCCTTGTTTCTCTTATGTCACGGATGTAATGCCTTGAATAATTCTATCCCGCAACTAGATAACTTTGATTGGCATGCGAGTGAGTATACCTCTCTGTTCCCCCTCCGTCTCTCTCTTCCTGACTCTCTCACTCCCCCTGTTGTGTGCCCTGTCCCCCTCTGCATGCAAATGTCTCTCTCCCTTTGCATGCAGAGGCCTCTCTCTCTCTCTCTCTCTCTCTCTCTCTCTCTCTCTCTCTCTCTCTCTCTCTCTCTCTCTCTC